ATTAATAGATTTCTTAGGCTTTCTTGTCGTGAGTGTTGAACTTGCTTAATTGATTCGAGCATTTTCTCTTTTAGTGCTTTAAATTTTTTCTGAGATTGCTTGATAATTTATTACATTTTATGATAATAAAAGCTTTTTGAGATGAGATTGATATCAAGTGAGTTGGATTTCATGTGAGAAAATAAACAATTTCTAATTTAGTCAACGCCTCAACAAATACCCTTACCATTTATGACAGGACACATCACCTTTGTGCTCCCGTACCCTATAATATATTATATATTTCCCACACGAAGAGTTCTTCCTTTATGAAAAAAAGCGAAGCAAACGAAACATGTATTGTTCATCACTATAACCACACGACAATGTTCAAACTACCGAACAACAAAAACCACACTCACTATAAAACCAAAACGATTACGAACAGTATTATTGACAAAAAGGCCGCCGCCATGTAAAACCATACAACCTACAAACTCATCAGGTAAAATATCTGTTGGTTGCTTCATACCTTGTAAAGTACAGAAAACCAGCAAACTCACTTACAATTATCGCATGCAGATTCGAAATTAACGACTACAGCCACTTAAATCTCCCGGCTAATAAGTCGTGCATCCTCGCCGCCGGCATTGTCGATACGAAACCACAACAACAACAAGACCAGATATTCTTCAGAATATCTGCCTCACAACACAAAGACGATAAGACTCCTTTAACGAATGCAGCATTTTCTGCACACACGACACCTCTCAATGCACCTACTAGTGCGTACTACAAGCTCCAACCGCAGAGCATAATATGGACCATCTCCCCACAACCATTCAATTGTAAAACGGAACGTCTGTAGTGACGTATGCATAGATAAATTATCAAATGACAACTGTAATGTTTTTTGTGAATAATAAAGACATCCGCCTTCCCTCCTCAGTAATTTTCACCTTCACACTTCGCATAATGACATCACATCACCGCATCGCCATCTTCTATAAAAATTAAATTTCTTTAATTTCTTTAAACCTATGATGATAGTAGTAGTCGTAATAAAACCTAAACTGATGCCAAATCTTCACCACATGCCTTCCCTCTCTCGCGATTCCATTGATCAAATTTGTATGGCTGCCCAATAAAACTGTAAATGCGGGATCACGTTCTACTTCGCTTCCCTAATACTAAATACTAAATCGATGACGAGAATCTTCATCACGTGCGAAGCACTGTCTCCATCTAATTCTAGTTATATATATATATCTTACCGAGATCTAGGTCTCGATCTCCACGATTTAGATCTAAGACTATATCTAGACCTAT